GGTTGAACTCACGAATGGTTAATGGCATTACTTAATTACGGTCCGTGTCATAGACTACATAGAATAATTTGGCTCCATGTCGTTTTAAATAAAGTGATGATGTTATGTATGACTATATTATAATATTCTGTAATTTTAATATAAGAGTTAGTTAATTAATTTAAGTAAATTAAGAAAGTTTGTTGAGTTAGTTATTCGTAATCATTAAGTGTTGTCTTTTCTAAAATACTCATGCTAATCATGTATTAGCTAAAACTACCATTTGATTGAACATTTAAATCTGCAACTAGTGTAAGGACTACTTTAAAAAATAAATAAATATGAAAGACAAAATATATTAGAATTTATATTTAGAACTAAATTGAAAATCAAATAGCTTTTATATTAAAAAGCAGATGTAGTACTTTCTCATACTTCATGCTATAGGAGTTGATTAAACAATCTATTTGATCCTAAATATAAAAAATCTCAGTCTTTTTTATATCCCATATTTTAAAAGAATCATTATATTTTTTTTAGTAATACAATTAACTTATTTAAATTCTTTAATCTATATGAATTGTCTGATTAACTAGTTTCTTTATTTAAGATTGGAGTATGTCATAAAATACCAATATATTATTATCTCTGGTCTTTAACATAAAAATTAGTTAAAAATTCAATTTATTTTTAAGTATAAGAATTAAATCTATTTTATCTTCAATATTTCTTCATTTTGCTCCCAAATAATTCATATGATGATTATTGCATATATATATATATAAGAAGCTTTCATCATGAGGTATTTCATTACACAAGATTAATAAGAATATTTTAAAATATATAATATCTTTTTATTACAAGTAATTAACTTAACTAATTTTCTTAACCAATAAATTACTTATAAGAACCCGACTTAATATTAAGGAACCAAACACTTGGGTTGAAGCCATGAACAATAATACAGCATATGAATAGGGGGATAAGGATGACATGCACGGACTATGAAAGCAGAGAAACTACGTGGAAGGAGTAATTAAACATATGGGAAAAAGTGATAAAGGATTGGGATCCTTTATTTGAGCCAAGAAAGTTTTGCCCAACATGCCCCTCACTCCTTTTGTTCTCCCTCTCTTATCCCATCATGCTTGCACTCTTCTCACATTCATGTAGTATTGATCATTTGTGATTGTAAATGCAATGAGAGTGTTTTCTATAATCTTCTTTTGGCTTCAGAGCCGACTCCTCTTGAATGGTTTGCAAACGAACCGTTTCAGGAGTCGTATACATTTGTTGATCATACATTAATATGAAAAGATCTTGAACTGAGATGAATATGGACCTTGCAAGCAAATGCGATTATGCCAGTGAGTTCAAAAGTTGGGTTGAAGGAGATTCCGTAACGTACGTATAGTTAATTACGTAGCCCACCCCTCTTTGGAATGTTAGGTATTGAGCTCATATACATCAACTCATAACTTTAGTTTATTAATAAAAACATTCCGATATAAATTAATGTTGAAAGTTTAAGAAGAATTTATAAATTTGAGAAACAAAATTAATTGAAGTATTATATTTAAGATCAAAGTTGAGTTAGTTCAATCCAACTAGCTTTTAACTTTAAGATGGGAAGCAGTGCCAATACTTAATTTTCAATTCACATGCATTAATATTATCTCCATGAAAGTAAGAGGTTTTACATAATGGGATTGAACTTGATTGTTTTCCTCGGATGCCGGCTAGGTTTATAAACAAACAGATGGCGTGCGTGTGATTGCGAGCCATGTTTGTGTTTTGAGCCTTGGGGTTTCTGCGTGTTGGGATTGTACCTTGTGGTTGGTCGGTGACAAGTGACAACACTAGTGTCCACACACACAAACACAAACACTACACTCATCATCATATTTCTTATCAAATTATAACAACTGCTATATGCGTAGTACTCCTAAATGAGAATCCGAGGCCTCAATACTCAAGAAGAAACATCAAATTCGAAGAAACAACCAAAAAAGCAGAACAACCTGCGGATGAATTCTAATTATTGTCGAAGTCTATCTATATAATCCCAAAAACTATATCAAGTCCAAGCATGCATGGTTATGGTCAAATTTCGCCTAGCTTTGCGATTATACATACGAGACTGTATAATAATATATATTGTCCTAGCCCAACATATAATTAAAAAGCGGATTAACATACATAACAAATAAAACAAATTAAATATATAGGAGTGTGTGTTTAACTATACTTTTAGTCTCATTTTCTTTCTAAACTTGCATGATTATATTAGTGTAAATTATTTGATTCAAGAGATTAGTATGGTGTGAGATGGAGTTCTGGCTTCCAATTTCAGATAAGTGCTACAACGATCCACGATTACAATATACGTCAACATGAAGAAAACAGTACATCTTCGTAAAGGGGGAAAAGAAATGCACAGAGAAATGAAAAGTTTGGAGGCATATAAATACATACATACATACACATATGTATATATAGTTATGTCCACCCACAAACACACATTTATATACATAAAAAAACCAAGGCATGCGATTGCTTGCCAAAAAGCATAATTACTTCTTAGTTCTTATGAAAGCTCTAAGACCTTAATCTTAGCTGCGCCGAGTCGTCGTCCAGGAGAGTCGTTGGAATTACAGTATGGAGAATGAGTAGATGAAATATATATGCTCATTCGCACGTCAATGACCACGTCCTTTGTGGCTAGGCCCAGAATAAGCTTTGTTGCTTATTATAGAAGAAGAAGAAGAACCATACTGATGTTTCAGAGGTCTGAAGGCCTCAACAATGGTGGAATACGATAGCAGAAGGAAGAAAACGAGAAAGATGGCATTAAATGCCACAGCAAGAGAGTAATAACCCTTCATCATTTTTGTTTTTCCGATTTCAAAATGATTCGGTTTGGTGCAAGACGCCAAGAGGAATAATGCTATAAATATATATATATATATATATATATATTATGTGAAGTTGTGAACTACTGCGTTCCTCTGACTTATACAAAGCATATTTTTCAACGTTCGAAATTCTAAATTTTGAATCAGACCAAGAATTATTAGTTGGAGGGTTTGGAAACAACATTAGCCACGTGGATGCAGAGAAAATTATTAACAGTGATGAGGAAGAAAAATCTGTGTCTCAAGACGTAAAGCACACGATTTATTAATTGACTATCTAAGGTTTTTTTTTTTTTTTTGCCATCACCTTGTACGTATAGTTAATATTAGGAGCTAGTCAACTTCGTAAGATACATACATATATATATATATATATATATATTAGTAGCTAATTCTTCGTTGAAAGTTGGTGGACGTGACATTAAATTTGGGTCAAATTTCATGGCTTCACGATGCTTCCAACCTAGTTTTAAGTTCTATGGATACGTACATGTAATAGGAAAACATGATATATTGATTTGGCCTTCCATCATTATAAGTAACAAGAGGTTACTTGTCTTACCAGTACTGGGAATTGACTGATGGTCGTATATCTTCTATTCTGTGATGGAAGTGCTACTGTGTGTATCTACCCAAAGTTAAATTATTTATGTTAGGTAGCATGAAGGGTCATTTAAAATTCAAACTCCGTATATGTGTTGTCATGATCACAAAAAAGTACTGATGGTGAAGAAATTAACGACACCACTTGTGATGCAAATCTAGAGTAAAAAGCAAACTTGCATCGTATTCTGTATAGGGAAAGTTACAATTATACATCAAGTAAAAAAAAATTAATTACTGATAATTTTTTTCAGAATTTGATTCATTAGAAAGAGTAATTTTTTGATAAACAAAAGTACGAAGTTATTCCACCGTTCTTTTGGCATCCATGTAATTTTAACCAGTTATTGATCAGTGATGACTGGTCAACTGGTGTGGACCAGTCAATAATTGGTTAAAAATGATCGATTTATTTTAGTAATTTTTCAATACTTTTCAATTTATAAGTTTTTTTTTTATATTTACAAGTCAAAATTATAAATTTACACATCATTCTGTATTGTTTTTTTTACATAATTTCAGAAAATTTTAATATTTAAAAATTGATCTTTATTTATAAAATTAAACGCAAAATTTTGCATGTATCTTTATAAAATAATTCTGAAAATTCTCTCGTTATAAAATTTATTCAGCAAAATAAAGTTACATACTTAATGACCCAAACAATCTAGCAAGTGCAATTCCTTTTTACTTGTGTGCAACGCAGCACACAGGTGTGGATTCTCTTAGAATCCTTTGGTCTCATTTTTTTTTATCAAGTTTTTATCTTCACTGTTAGAATAAAAAGATGAACGGTTCAAATTTAACATTTAAAAAAAATGTCCATCTTCTCTCTCCTTTTTTATATAATATTATAATAATAATTTTATAAAATATTGAACATGAATTATCTATTTTTTTGATAGATGAGAGTATGAGAGTATTCAAATCCCTTTAACTATATACAAAATGTCTTCATATAGTTCTAAACAAATTTCAGATATCTTTGGACAAAAAAGGTTTTAATTAAGAAAGTTTCAGTAATTTTTCTTATTTATATTCCTTTCACTAAGTGAAAAAAAAAGGAAAAAAAGAGAGAAAATATTAATTCTATTGACGAGTCAACTCAAAATTCTGACAGACGCGGCAATAATAGGACGTGGAGTTCACATGCCCCTAATACCGTAACGGACAATTGAAAAGCCACATCAAAATTTAGATCAAATGCTTTAAACTAAACACATTTCCTCCAACTTGACTTTTATAGCGTGTCGTGTTACACAAATGAGGAATAAACTCTTCAGCCTAGGCTCGGCGTCAGAGGAAAACATGTGAGGGAGGCGAAAATTTGTTAATGTTGAGAATAATGAAAATTATTTTTAAGGGGTGAATTTAAAATTTTCTGAAAATTAAACCAATCTCAAAATCAAACTGATGTATACCAGCGAGCTGGGACCATGTTGCAATTAATCTTTTCTCTGGGAATCATTATGGTATGCTCAAAAGTTGCCTCACACAGTCTAATGATTTACAGAGGCAAGCAAGAAGATAGCATTGAAGTCGAAACATGTGATGATGTTTCATAGTTTAAAACAAAACCTTGACATTTCCATGGTATCCCCCCCCCCCCACGTGCGAACTACGTCTTGTAAAGTCATCCTCCTTTTCCTTTTCTTTCACTTTGCCTTCTCCACCTTCCCACCTTTCACGTTGGCTATATATCTTCATACACAGCGGAATCCTTTTTCCCAGAAAAGAAGAGATTTTGGAGAAAGGGTTTTTCGTTTCATGCCATAGATGTTTCTGCTGCTTGGTTGGGTTCGTTCAGGATCTTGTTGATGAGGAAACGTTAATCCCCATCGCAGGTGACCAGAAATCAGCACCATTACTGCTGGCCACGTGTACGGTGGATTCCACTGGGATCAGACATAGTCCTCTGCTACTCAACTCTCCTTTGCCTTCCTGTCTCTTGTTCATGTTAACCCCATCTCCCTGAAATAACGACGCCGCGTTAAGGTTATTTTTGGATGGAGGGACAAGTAGAGAGAAAAACAAGGATAGAGAAAGAATACTAAAAAAATTCAAAAATAATAAAAATATTTTTTTCCAAAGAGTTCTGGCTTATAGTACTTTTTTCTCCTCTGATCATCAACCCAGCTTTCATCTCTCCCAGGTTGACTGGTCAGTCACGGCAAATAACGGTCAACCGGATGTACTAAAAATTAAATGGGAGGGGTTATTAAAATGCCTATGTCAATTGAAATTAAATTAATTATGATTAAAATAATGTATTTTAATTAAATTACATAAAAATATTCATATATAATCATTAAAAATAATATTTAAATAAAAAAGCATCAACCTACAAGTAAACGAAACATTTATATACACACTACATATATTATAAATTTATAAGAAAACACAAAGTTCTTAAAACATAAATTTCATAAATCGATATTGTTTTTAACTCAAGATTATATTTGTTTCATGTTAGATAAGAGGTGGAAAAACTATAAAATCCAAGTCAATTCAGTCAGGAGATTGGTTTAGAGTTAAAGAATCCGAATTAGATTTTAATAGGCGGTCAACTTTCCAACCAGGAAAAAGTTTGTAAACCAACCGACTACAAAAAATTTAGAAAAAGTGAAAAACCTCGTAAAATTGAAGAGCGACAAAAAATAAGGTGGGGTCCACCTTCTATGTTTGTCTTCCCCCAATCTTACTCGTACTTTCGAGGATGGAACTCTCAATTGGGGGTATGGTCGCAATCAAAACAAGCTGGTCTTGCTACTGAATAGCCCAGTGAGTCCAAGGCTATGTTTTGTCCGTGGAAGAACAGAGCAACTATTGGTACATTTTTTTGTTCTCTTCTCAAATGGAAAGCACAGAAAAATACAACCATGAAAATGATAATGAGGGAAATGGGACGCACCGTACGGTGGTGGCGGGGATGAGGCGAAGGAGGAGGTGCCTGCAAGTAAGGCGAGCAGAGGACCTGAACTTGGTCGTGGAGAAACCTTATGTATCCCATTGCCTCGTGAAGCACCGAAGCTGTATCTGTCTGCAACAAATTCCAAGTTCCGAAACTCATAAATAAATGTCATTTATTTTTCCGAAATCCTAGAAAAATAATATAACATCATGTTCTTGCATTATAGTATATATGCCCAGGTTGATGTTACTTACCTTCCCAAATGGAGAAACGAGCTGTTGTAACGCTGCGATTCGCTCCCCAAGTTTCTCCTTCCTCTGCCATTACAAAAACCAAAAACCAGGAACTGAAACGAATGGGGACAACATATACAAGTACAAAACACAGCAGTGTCTGTCTGATTTTAAGGGAGAGAAACAGACGGGAACATAAAAGAGAAAGCGACATGCAAAAACAGAACGCCATCCGTTGTCGATTGTCCTCACCTTTGCATGTCCTGTTGAAGTGGGGTTCTCCGCTCTGGCTTTCTTCGAATGTCTCCGGCCACCGCCACCAGCCGCCGTGGCGCCGGAATCAGTGCAGCACCCCATTTCCTGTGCCGACCCACCACGTTTTTTCTGCATAACAACAAACAAGAGAGAGGAAATTATCGAAACAGTATGATTGTGAGTCTAACAGGACAAAAATCAAAGACAGGGAGAAACCATATCGCGGACATTAGACTTATGGTTGCAGGAGGAAGAAGCAGAGGAGGATTCGCTAGAAGTGATGACAGATTTCTGTGGGGTAACAGCGTTGGGTTCAGAAACCAAGAGGTCGCCATGACTGTTTCGATAGCCCTCGAAACAGAGCATTTTGGGGGGACTGCCGTTGCCAATCGAGAAAAGAGAGTGATGATGATGGGGGAGGTGGTCCACATCGCCATGTCCGAAAAGAAGCTGAGAGAAACTGGAGGTTGGGGTCAGAAGGTGGTCCCCGTGGAAGCCGTCGTCGTCCTCCATATGAAGGTGTGAAGTATTGCGTAATCTGAACGAGAGAGTGAAAGAGAAGGGAGGGGGATGGATTGACGGGAGAAGACAAGTGAAGTGGTGGGAGAGAGAGAGAGAAGGGAGAAGGAGAGAGATTTTGTAGAGTTGGGCTGAGTTTGGGCTTATTCCAAGGAAGGCTTCGGTTTTCGGCATTGGACGGTCAAACCCACTAGGCCCGAGAAAACCGTGGTTGAGCCCTCCAACGCACCTTCTTACTTTCCCTTTTCCGGGTTCGGGTACTCCCACCGACTCACCATTTCCTGAATTCACCTCCCGTTTCTACTTTGACTACGGTTATTATCATCATGACATGTCATGGATTTCAAGGTATAAAATCCGGGGAAACGCATGGTTGACTGACATGAACTAGAGAGTATTTAGGGAGTGTTTAGATAAAATCAAACTATGTTTAGAAGTACTTTTATGGTTTACGAAGTAAATATGTAGAGGAATTTGTCTCGTTTTGCGGAAAAGTACTTCTGAAACTATGGTTTGGAGGTTGCCAAACACCCCCTAGATGGAATTAAAATCATAGTTTTAAAAGTATTTTTACGATAGATGAAATAAATATGTGAAAAAATTATCTTATTTTACGAAAAAATACTTCTAAAAAGTACTTTTTGAGTGCTTCTAAATACTCTCTTAGGCTGGATTTAAATCAACAATTTCTTCTTGTGGTAGTCAAAAGAAGTTTTTTTTTTTTTTGCCTAAGCACACATATATTTTTTTCACTGAAGACAGTTCTATTTTGTTGATTATTAAATTTAGACATCTCTTCTAAAATTATCAAAAGAAGGTTTTTGACAATATCTTTTTTTTTTTTAGCTGAATAGTCCATAGTATTAAAACTTCAAAAACCAGTACAAACACTAATAATTATAAATCCTATGTATTATATCTAAAATAAATTGCTCCATCTAATAATTACACCTTTATTTATTTTTTGAGACAAGTATAATCACTTTATTAATATTTTGCTTCATTGCATTATAAGAAAGATGCCCCTACAGCATAAAAAGATACGCTATTTTTATTATAATGCTTAATAATAAGAATTTATTATTATTTTTTTAATCAGAAAATCTTTCTCATTCATAAATTTCTTTTTTTAATTTCACTTTCTATAATATTATTGCATACAATTTTTTATCACATAACCAGCGTATAAATTTAACTACTATAAATAACAAACATTATTATTTATTTATTTACAAATTATAAATCCTATGTATTATGCATAGTCCAAGAAATTAGACTATTCATAGCTTATAAATAGTTAATTTGTTAAAAATTTTATATGATACGTAAATCTTGAATAAATGAAGATTTAAAATTAAAAAAAATTATTCTTTCGGTCCTAAATATATTACTTATTTTGTACTATAATTTACACTATAAAATAAATTTTATATTTAAGACTAGAGGAGTATCATTTTTTTTCTTCCTGGTAAAACGACAATTAAAATTTACCTTAAATAACATTACTCTTCATTATTCAATGCTTTACAAGAAGGAATAACTTTCTGCGTCGCAAGTGATGAGATCATTCCCAGCTTCTGTTTTGCCAACGAAAGGACCGATCAATCTTAAAAATAATAATAATAAAAAAAGAATCCAATTATCATTATTCTACCATTTCTTGCTATATTAAACTAAAGCCGCCCTGCACCCAGCTCAAAACCAGCAATGTCATAATAGCGCAACTTCATATAATTTGATAGTCCGGTAGTTAATATAAGTTTTAAATAATTAATTTACATACAATAAAAAAGTCAGTTGAAAGTGATAGATAGCTAAACATACATATATATGTGTGTATTCAAATATACTCTTGTTATTAATGAAAAAAAGGATGAAAAAAATATATGAGAAAAATACAATAAGAAAGAAATGATAAAAGAGAGAGAATAACCCAAACTAAAGTTTATAAAATAAATCACAACTCCCACATTTAAAACTTATAAATAGGTCTGAAAAGAGTGTTTGTTAATAAAATGTTCTCATTAGTGACAAAATAACAATTCTCAAGATACCCATCTACCACTTGGCCATATCCAAGTCAAGTGTATTAAGCAATAAGCAGGATCGACTTTGGCGAAAAGGTACGTCCAAAATGTTCCCCTAGCTATATAAAGTTTGGCACTATTAGCACCTTTCACCAAATCAATGAGGCTGCTGACAAGAACCAACACAGAGGGAAACTGTGAAAGTAGCATGAGAAAATAATGGAAAGCAGAACTTAAGAAGGGCACGAATAATAGAACAAGATAAGTAAACATGCACATAAATCAAGGTTTTTTCCTGCAGAAGCAGAACATTATTAAGGAATTCTCTCTTTTAAAAGATGAAAAAAATGCAAGCTATCCCCGCGTAGTCGTAACAATCTCACATCTATAGCAAGAAACAATCATGCTAGGCAACAAAGTAAGCTTTCTATTTTTCCTTTGAGGAATACAAACAAACACTTGGTGGGCAAGCGTGCGGGTCACGAGCAGCAGATGTCCTTCAACCTATCCGCAGCAGATTTGTCCACCGAATACTGCGAACGCATCAGATTGCAGATGGGTCAAGGAATAAACAATAAAGATCGAAGCTTTGAAGCGTGACCAATTTTTTCTCGGTAAAAGCCAACAAGAACAGAGGAAGAAAAGACCTTATCGAGAACCCACAAGGAATGGCGATAGGTGCGGCTGAAGAGATCCTCAAGAGCAGTAGAATCTGCAGCATCCACGTCTCGGTAATTGACGAAGTTCTCGCGTGCGTACTTGGCGTAATAAGGTCTAGTGTCCTTCGGCAAACGCCTCACTAGCCTCAGAACCTCCATGTATGCTCTTAGCGCCTTCTCCATTTGCTTTGTCCTCGCAAAATGGTCACGACCCAGATCACTTGCCTCGGACAATAATATTAATAAGCAGCTTGAGTTTTGTTTTTTCGGGTAAGTTCGCAGCTGGGGAAATGACACTTGATGGATCCGTTATTTAAATACTCTTGGAATTTTGGAATTTAACTATCTTTAGATACTCTGAATCTTAATATAAGACTTATTTAACTAATTTGATTAGATTAAGAAAGTTAGATAAATTAGTTAATTATAAAAAATATGACACATTTTTTTTAAAATATCATAATCATCTTTTTTTAATACTATTTTTCCTCTTTTATTTGATTATGGTTGATAGAGTATTTATATGGATGATTTAGAGAAAATTAATAAATATGATAAATGGGTTTTATATTTAGAATAAAAACCAACTCAATAATTAAGTCATATATTAAAAATCAGATGAGTATAAGTCAAAATTGTCCGTCTTCGGACTATGTATATGTACATTTGCTTGTGTTCCCTAATTTTACAATTGGCTAAAAAGCAATTGTAAAATTAATGTTGCTAAGATATATCATTGAAAATTTCGAAATTAGAAGAATAATTAAATAACTTGTTTTGAAGATAATAAAGATTCTACGACTCCTACTCGAACCGTTTCCTCCTAGTTCTCTCAGTTTCCATATCAGTTTGCTGGAAGTTCAACAACAACTTCACATTACAAGAGCCTCAGAGCAGCTTCATCCTTCAGGCCATTACTCTTCCAGTCCACACAGGAAATTCCCAAGATCCAATTCTCGTTGGAGAATCTCAAGACCCAAATTAGATGGACTCACAACCCTTCCAACTCACCCAACCAGAAAATCTTCAACTCCCCCAGTCAGAATTATCATCTAATCTAGTTTCGGAAGAAGATTACAACCCTAATGAAGGATACAATAGTGACTACTCAAAGTGCATTGGACATAATGAATATTACACTGATCTCACTGATGAAGAATACACACTTTTCAAAGATTAGACTTGATTGGGTTTATCTATTTGGAATCTATTTTATGTCTTACTTTAAATACGAGTATGATGTGTGCTTTTACTTTTAGGTTTTATCAGCTTTTACTTTTGTTTAGAATCTTTGTTTTTGTAAAAATAAAGTTGCACTATTAAGTCTATAATAATTCTATACTGTCATCTAGCTAGTCCAAAGAGTCTATATAAGAAAGTCTCTAGTCTAGAGATTTAAGTATGCTCTAACAATAATAAATGAGTATCAAATATTGAAAGTATGCTCTATACTTGTTTTATATGAGGATCATGTGTATTAGAAAGAATCCGACCATGATTCTCTTTTGATTGAAGAGTTCTTAGTCCGGAGTTTTACGGGTTGAGATCCTAATATGATCTGTGTAAGGCCTGAAGTGCCGTTTGTTAAAACCTTGACATGACAAGACATATAACTCCTTAAGTCAAGTATGGTTCCTAATCTTAGCAACTTATGATAAAGGTGGAACCAAGTAAAAGTATTCTTTCATCAGCCTCATTAACCATAAAGACTGTAACTTGCCAGATCTGGTTCGCAAAGGACCTCTGACAATAATAATCTCTCTATCACAAGTTTCAAAACACTCATCTCTCTAATGGCAAATCCTCATGATGCCGGGAGTAATAAACTTTTATACCCTTTGCTTGAGAAACCAGAGTAGGTTGCATGCGCCTCTAGTTCTGCGAATGAATTCACCTTCACCTCATCCTTAGACAAAAGGATACTTATAATTCTGATCTCTGAAGTCTCAAAGTCAATCTCCTCTTCTGATTCAAATCCTCGTTCCTCACTATATCGTTTATTCACATTACTCAAGGACTGAGAATGAAATGAAAATTCTGAAGTTTCAACTTTCAAGAATCCTCTAACCCCCCGCCATTACAAATTACTAACTTTATCCATACGGAGAATCTTCATTCCATACTTTCTCAAAGCCCAAGGATATTTTCTCAGTCCTGTGATTATTAAGCCGAGGTTGTCTCTTCAAAATTCTAAAGTTTCCTCCAAAAAGGAAGTCGAATTTAAGAAACACTGTGGCGATAAAATAATGCAATGATCAAAGAACAGAGGGAATTTTCGGGGGTAACTAGAAATTAAGACAGAGATAGCAAAAATAGGCTTAAAAGGCCCATCAGAATCCCTATAAAAAGCAACATCAATCGTGCCATAATCCTTACTGGCATGCAACCTGAAGCGTGGGTTAGTAAAGTTCAAAGGCGAGCCTTGCCTTCTTCTTGGAATCTCTCTCCAGTCCCGTTGCTTCTTTCACTTCAGGTTTGATGTTTTCTTCTCTCTCTTGTGCCTCTGAATATTTCCCTCTTCCCTGTTTTTTGGTACAATAGATCTATAAGATGCGTGAATGGGCAGAATGCTCCAACATAAACTCGTTGGCCTGTAAATATTTGTCTCTTTCCTTTTTAGCATCATAATAAACAATATGAGGACTTGTCCATTATCCAAGATCTCCATCCTTTTTGGGTCCTTTTCTATAATTGTTCTACCATGATATTTTAATGGCCATGTCCTGTCTAGTACAGCAGGGCATCCTGTTTATGACCAACCCTGGAACTATGAAGACGAAGAGATTCCTTCTGCTGGCACTACTCAGCATTCAAGATTTCAAGTTCGTTGGACAGAGATTATTCAACGAAACTAACAGCTCCTCCCACAGACAAAGGTCCATAAAAGGTGCTAATTCCTATGGCATGCCTTATCGGAGTGCACAGTTTGAGTTAAGAATATGGGAGGGACATTACCTCAGCATCCCATCTGTGGTACATGCATTCTTGTGATTTCCAACTCAAAAATGAACGACGGAGTTGGGAAGTTTGGTGTGCGGAAAGAATTAATTGAGCAAACATTGCAAAGAATCATATCAGTATGATATTATTGTACGCCCACTTTGTGACATGGGTAAATAAAAATATTCTTCTTGTCTACCTCTATCATTTGGCTATATAAGGAGAAGATGTCAACCGCTGAAACTCACTAATAGAGAAGAAATTGCATCAGTAATCTCTTAGCACTTTATTTTCAGAGTAGAAAATGGCAGCCATTGAGTCAGATTCAAAGATCTCTCTACACGTACGCTCTAACAGCTTTCCTTCTGCACCTCACCCCCTTGTATCACAACTTGAGGAGCATCTGAAGAGATTGAAGTCCTCTGAATCTGCAACTTCATCTTCTTTAAGTCACAAACTCAATGGCTTGCAAGATTTACATGAATGTACTGATAAGTTGCTTCAACTAAACATCACCCAACAAGTCCTAACACGAGGTTGCAGCCGAGAGTGGGTTGATGAGTTACTTGACGGGTCTCTAAGGCTTTTGGATATATGCAGTACTGCTAAAGATTGTCTTTTGCAATCAAAGGAATGCGTGTATGAAATTCAGTCAGCTATTCGAAGGAGAAGAGGAGATGAAAGTGCATTCACAGCCGAAGGCGGAAAGTATTTGGCTTCCAGAAAGAATATGAAGAAGGCAATTCAAAAGGTGTTTGGAAATGTTAAAGAAGTAAGACATGAGTTCAAGTTTTCTTCTGCAAACAAGGAAAACGACATGCTTAGCTTTGTTAAAAGGAGCAGATATGGTCACTTTCAGTACATTAGAGTCTTTGTTGCACTTTATCTCAGAACCAAAGGGACAACTGAATGAAAGAAGATGGTCAGCATTTTCCAAGCTGATGCGGCCTAAAAGAGTTGCTTGTGACTGTAAAGAATCAAAATCAAATGAATTTGACAAGGTAGATACAGCTTTGAAGTCTCTCTACAAACACAAGCCTACATCCAATAACAATTTCCGGGGCCAGCTGAAAGACTTGGAGATGTGTATTCTGGATCTAGAAGTAGAAGTTGAGCGCCCCTCAAGGCAACTTATCAAAACCAGAGTTTCCCTTCTTAACATCCTCGACCATTAGTCAGACAATATTTAGGATAACCTCGGACACCCAAACCCACTATCCCCTTTGAGTGTCCTATACTTGTACACAATGTTCTGCTGTAAAGATATACTATGTTGGGATCATATTATGACTATCTGATCATCCTTCTTCTTTCCAGTCTTAAAATTTCAATTTTCCATTTTTTTTTTGGGTAAAGAGAAGCAGAATCCTCGTTTCCACTAAACCATGAGAAGTTTTTATTAGAAACAGAATGGCCTTGTGATCAATTCCTTGGTCAAACCAGTCTTTGCTTAACTTTACAAACATGGTTTTACTAGAAGCCACAAACAAAGTTAAATGAA